GGAACCTGGATGGAGTTTTGGGGGGTGAAGAAGTTTTTATGGATAAAAATCCATAAAAACTTCTTGAAATCATATGAATTATCACTAGTGTTCCTGTGTTAATGTGTATCTTAGCCATCCAAGTATTACTTGACTTGTGATTAGGTCAGAAGCAACAAGCATGATTTCTTGTCTGTGTGAACTGCTTTAACAACCTGTCACTGCTGTTGTTAAACTACTTTCTAAAATGCATCCTTATCTCTCTGCATGTGTCTTCTTTTTCGGTCTTCAAACCACTGCCCTTCCCCTTGGATGTATTCCAAAAGATTGGCTAGGAAATGCCAAATACACAGTCCAAACACATAAAAGTTAAGATATAGGCAAGCAAGGTGCTGATGTCTGGGCTTTTTTATCAGATGTATGTACAATTCTTATCACGCTGAGGTAGAGGTCTCTAACTAATGAAATACTGCATGAAGGTGAACTGTCCACTATGCATAAAAATGAGTAAACATTCTGTCATGGAGAGAGCTGTCTCATCTCAAACACTGCTGGCTCTGAATTTGATGGTTTTATAAAATGCCTCAACCTTAAATTTGGTGTGCATACATTATACAAGGACTCTGATACTGAGGCTTTAAGCAGAGCAAAAAATAGTAGTTTAATACAAAGAAATAAGACTGTAACCTCACACAGGCGGCCTGGGTTACGGCTGCTCACCGGTTTTGACCCTCCCTCAGCCCGGCGTCAACTCACACTGGAAGCATTTCAGAAGCGTTTCAGCAGCGGAGTTTAGCCTGCCCCACTTTGTTGACTTGTTGTTTATTTTTCATGAAGGGCTTAATTTCCCACATGGAGCATTTCAGAATAAGAACGTTTTGCCAGCCTGATTTTGCTGAATTGTTTAGATTTGGTTGATTTGGTAAGTTGTCCTTGATTTTTGTGTTTATACCGTGGTTAAGAAGGCCACATAGTTAAATTGTTTCTTTTTTGGTCTGTTTTAACTGTGTTTATTGTTGATATACGATCGGGAGTCTGTACAAGGTATTTTAATTATTTATCTTTGCCGTTTCTGTGTCTAACTTCCTGCCCGGCTCATGTGCTTGGTGCTGCTTCACGCGTCAAAAATAGACCGGCTGCCGATTCTTCGCGCAGCGGAGCAGAGAGACGCTTCTGGGATGCGCTGCGGCGCTTCAGGTGTGAGCACAAGCATTGACTACAATGGCAGTGATTTGCTCCCGCAGCCGTAAGAGATCATAGGTTTTATAACATATGTTAACTTATGAAGACCCAAGTTCCAGTTGTCACCTACGCGAGATCATGATAATCTATTGCTATTGAAACAGTTTCCATCCCTGTCCTTCATCATGGATGATCTTTTAGTAGAGGATGGTGCATTGTTCTCTGATAGTCCCCAGGTGAATTACATTTTAGTGGTTATTTATTCCATAAAAAGAGAAATCCATTAAGGGCCTCTTTCAATTCATAAGACACAGTCTGTCCATCAGTGCAGTTGCATATGACAGGCATTCAACCATCCCACAAACACGGGAAGTGAAGTCATTACAATCTGACACGTTCCCTAGGAAACAGCTTCCCACTCTACTGATAGCTAGGATGATTTTTTTAGCTTTATCTCTTCCTTTCTTACATAAAAGAAATGAAGATCATGTCTATCATCTTTTATTGTGCTTTATCATAGAACATTTAGCAGACAGGAAGAGAGATATAGAGTGAGAAACAGAGACAGGGAGAAAAAGAGAGATTTTGCATGCTTCCAAAGCATGCAGACCATATCCAAAATGATTTAAATCACATTTCTCTTGAGCATCATCTCCATTCGATGAACTCTCGGTTGGTTGACTTCCAATTTAAAATGATTCAACACTCAAATGAAGGATGGCAAGTATGGCTTTGGATTTATGCCACATGAAAGGATGTGTGGGGATTCCATAGAGGGGCAGGATACTATTGTGGACAAGACAGCTCATTAAGCTGATATTACAAGTGTGAATATGACAAGTTATTGTCTATTTACAGAATAAAACACAGAGTACAGCTTGCTCACTGTGCTGCCTATCACTTTTACTTACTTAGGGGTTAGTAAGTAACCCCTAAGTAAGACAGACAACAACTGCTTTCAGTATACAGGATACATAGAATGGATTGATTGTGATAGCATCCTTCAGCATTCAAATGGCATCCAGTTTTTTATTAGTGGACTAATGTCAATACTAACCCCAGCAATCTCTGACATGTACAATTATTAATGTAACATGTTGTTGGTTTTCTCTGATATTCAGTACAATAAGGAGCCATCAGAAATCACTCGATCAGCTGAAATCTAAGGTGAGATGGTCAGCTGCTATATTCTGTCAAGGTGCATAAAGTTTTCACTGCTCTTTCAGCATAATGTCAGTTGACTAATGAGCTATGTCTGTTGCTCCACAAAGCTCATGCAGGCCTAACCCATTTGATCCGTGGGAGCTGAATGCCCTCTGTGTGGTGGATCTTTCTTCTTCATCCACACTGAAAATGTTAAGCACATAAGCCCCAAACAGCCCAGCCAACCAACTTCAATGAAAAAAAAAACATTAACATGAATCAAATCCAACTGCAGCCTTGGAAATGGGTGCATCACAAAAACCCACAGTTGCGTGGAGACACTGTGATGTCAATGATCTTCCACTTTTATTGCACAAGTTAGGGCCATTTGGCACCTGAATATAATTCAGATGGTTCTCAGAGGGACCGTCAACTGATTAGTCAACTGATAAAGAAGGGAACATAATAAATATTTAGCATTTGCAGAAACGTACATCCATGCTACTATATAAAATTGCTTCTGTCTCATTGTATTTTCAGAAGCAAACTGTTGTCCTGCAGAGATTTGTTCCAGAGCTTTTAACAAATCATCAATTAGGCACACCTCTGTGGATGCTTAAAAAGCGTCAGCAGTCAAATCGAGTACAAAATAGTATAGTATGGACTGTCAGGATGACAAAATTATAGATACAATAATAGATAAGCATGTATGAGTCCAGGAGGACTTGGAGCAACATCCAGGTTCCACCAAACACATATGAGCCACACAACCTCCTTTCCAACATGGAGACCTGGAAAGAGGACACACCACACAAAGATAGAAAGGAAACAAACACACAGAGGGAGAAAGACACAAGGACCAGCATGCACACAAACACCCAAATCCAAACATCTGGAGTGAGGCTGAGGTCCCAGGATGGTTGATGGTCCAGCTCAAAGACGCCTGAGTTTAGAGAGAGAGAGAGAGAGAGAGAGAGAGAGAGAGAGAGAGGCACAGCTGTGCTTGTGGGACACAAACAGACAGGGGGTAAAAGTGACGTAGTGTAGAAAGTTTACATTATTATCATCGGAAGGACAAACAGAACTATAAGTACTCGGTGTAATAGAATCATTGAGACTAAAACCAGCCCTTGAATGGATAATGGTAACAGGTACACCCCCTGAATTAATCAGAGAATAATCTAGTAACTGAAAGTGAAGTGGTGTTACTTAACATTCTGTGAATCAATTAATGAGGAAGTGGATGCAGTCAAACATGTTACATTTCATGTGTCAAGGAGCTGTGTCAGAAGATGTAAGGATACAACAGAATCACACACATCCAGTAAAAGAGCAGCCCGTATATTCACCAATGACAAAGGCATAGATAAAAATGTTAAACATAACCAATAAACAAAATAAACAAAAAATAAATAGTTTTACTTCAGCTCTTTTAACACACAACTTTTCTGCTGGTCTTTACAATTGGTACCAACATAGTAGAAAATCAGAAAAGAGAGACGCAAAGAAAGAGTGGGGGTAGAAAAACCTTGATCATTCCCACCTCTAGTTAATTATACCTCTGCTGTATAAAGAACCATCCCAAATGAACAATGCATCCATAATTATTTAATGTTTTATCAAAGTCCTGTGATTTCCTCAAATTTCATCAGATATTAAAGTTCTTGAAATGCTAAAACCCAATTAATATTCTCTGGCGTTGCAGACTACAAGCATTTGAAGTGTCTTGCCAACCAAGGCTGGGGACACCTTGGAGGCTGAGCTTGGTAGAAGAGGATCTCTCCAAATAAAATCCCATAATACCATAAAAGCTGTGACAGGGCTTGGGCAACCTGGCCTTGTTTTTCACCTACAGTGGTGTTTTATAACGCCTGAGAGTGATGGGTCACACACATCTCAGTCTCACACTCCTCAAAAACATTTGAAAGTGGCAACAATGTCCTCTGTGTGATCCACAGAACGAGAAGGATCACAGTGTTAAGATGCTCTTAGGTGAGTGCAGAGGGTGGCCGTTCTTTGGATTGCAGGAATATACAGACAAGAATACAGCAGGTGTCATAGGCTAACTACAAATATGAGAGGTGTGCACTACAATGACGAACCCACACTTGTAAATTCCACATATGCACTCACCTGAGATTACAGCATATTGTACTTCAGCTCCTGTCTCAGATGCATTAGCATTTTGAAAAACGTAACCCATAAGATGCATTATTTTGGTTTTAGGTTAAATCTGAGCATGGCTTGTATTTAACCTCCTACACTCACTCTTCTGTACAAAATCTCCTACACAGTAGCGCCTCTGCTGCAAGCATCACTTAATTCATTCAATTCTAACTTCACACAGAACGAACAGATAATGTAAGATTTCTGCTCTGTTCTATTAATCTGTCCTCATTTAGGCGGAAGATGGGAGCCACTGTTTCTGTGCTGCTCTCAGCAGCTGTAATTGGTTATGAATGACCCCCTGCATAGCCTTACTTAGGACTTTTACCTATGATGGCTGCTGGGATTCCATGTCCACTGAGCACGAACAAGAATGCACTATATGACAATTAGTTTGGCATGAAGACATGTAAAGTGCCATAATAAATTCTGTTTATGTATGTGTGTCTGTAGTGTCAATCAGAGAGGTACTGTAAAGCCACAGTATGTTGAAACACCCAAGCAGATAGGATGGTGGGTGGCACAGCAAATAAATTACAGCATCAATTGTCAGCTGCCTCACAAACTGTCTTTTGTGGCTGACATTCCCTTTCATTTACAGCTTCTTTCACAGAATCCCTTTGTTTGAATTACTGCACAGCCACCTTTTCAATCATTTTCTCTACTCTGACAAGTTCACGTGTCCTCTGTGTATCCCTCTTCTCATCCTCTTCTTCTCCGTCGTTTCTGTCTGCCTCTGTTGAAGATGAGATGATAGTGCTGGCAGTTTGCTCGTGAGATGTGTGAGAGACTCGATGCTGGCTAAAGGAATAAGAGTGTGCGCTTGACAACAGGCCAACGATAATGAAGAGATCCAGAGTGAGAGCCCTCAGTGGTGGTCCTCTGAACTCACTGGAGCTGGTGTGGAGATGTGTGACCTGCTGAGGAGAGGAGATCCTTTAAAAAGAAACCAATTACCATTACCCTGGTAAGTACTTATCCACAGTCTGCACACATACAGCACACATGGACACACTGTTCCTCCTCATTTGCCAAGTAATCAAGCAGCTTTCAACCACGGCACGCTTATAAAAGTCACACATGCTCTTGTTATTGTAATTTGTTGGCTGCCAAAGCTTGTGACTATCCAGTCACAGTTTTGTGAAATTCACTGTGAAGCTCAGCTACTAAAAACAGAAAAATATGTTGAGGGGTATGACCCTGAAAAAAAGGATTACCTCCTTATTTGCACAGATTCCTCCAGGTAGAGGAAGAGCTTTAGCGCTTTAGACAAGCCCAGTCATTGGGAGAGATGATTTTAAAAAAAGATATACAGAGAGATATACAGGCAGAGAGATGTCTTGCAGACATAGACTATTTCAAACTCATCTATTATACAGAGATATGACTCTTATCGTGCAAGTGTCCTCCTGATGTAACATAGATGGTTTTGGTTTTATTTGATCAGGTTTATAGATATCTGTATTCTGCCTCCACCCCATTACAATGGAGGTGATTTGAATTTGTCTGTAGCACTAAAAGCAATGAAAAATTACACTGAAAAGATGGAACAGCAACATCTAATTATATATTATTTCCATAACTCTGATCTAAATCCTAAAGCCAAGTCCTTATATAGAAATACATACACATAGACATACATGAACAGATAGACACACACGGGCATACACTAAGAAGGATAAAATATGATAAGCCAGGCATCTGACACTGTTTCTACAAACATCTCTACTGTACCTGCACGTCTCTACTGGAGCAGGGAGGGCTAACGTGTTGCCAGCTGGCTTTGATGTTTAATTAGGTTCCTGATTTGTGTCCACAAACAATTAAAAATAATTAATAAATAAAGTATAGATACTGTATAATTCATGAAATGCATGACTCTTTTTCCCTCTGTTACCAGGGAAACTTCGAGTAGATCAAAGGACCGTCACATCTTTCACAATTTATGAGGTTTAAGAATACTTTCAATAGCATCAGGTGGATGATTAATGACTCACTGCTACAGATGATGTCACTGCTCTGCTAGATGTTCACATAAAGCCGAGGAAATTGGAGTTAGGCAATAACCATTTTGTTTATCAATACCATTTTTATTTGGGTCAATGAGCCTTTAAATGTACTTAGATTTTCTACTTGCTTGATGGGACGTGAAACACCTTAAAGCAGCTGTACTAAATTCAACACCAGTTTAGAAAATTTAACCTTTAATAGGATCTAGGAAAAGTACACATATGCATGTTAGAGTTTAACCCCTGGCTTTAACCCTTGGCCACAGTATCAGTTATGATATCAAAGTTTGAAACCATGGAATGAACATTTTCACCCCTCCACTGTCTCCTTCAACATTCACCACTGAGGCTGTGACCTCTCAAACCAATGTCATGAAACAGCTTTAACTCTTTCTTCCACTCACTCTCTATCACTCACTGTCTATTTATGGCACACGCATGGCATACACACAAAATGAGGGGCATGACTGAAGGCCATCACAGCAGAGATGGACCTCTTTCTCAGTGGGGAGCAGAGATACAAAGGAAAGCAGGCAACAGACTCAAACAACACACACACACACACCTCATGGTCTCAAATGAAAATTGGAAGCAGTGATAAACAGCTCCAAATCTCAGTAATTAACAGGTTATATCATGTTTGTTGAATACTGTACGTGTAAAAACTTACATGCAAACACGGCATGTGACTTCCTGGGGTCCTGCCATCACCATGAAGTTGCCGGGCTACCAACAGAGAAGTGGTACCAACACGAAGTCACTGCAAAGCTTATTACCTTCAGGCAGAGCCAGGCTATAAGTTTCCACCTGTTTCTAGTCTTTATGCTAAGTTAAGCTAAATGGCTTCTGGCTGTTGGCTGTGGCTTCATAATTACCTTACAGACATGAGAGTGTCTGTAGCTACCAAATCCGTTCTGCGCAAAAGTGGTCCTATCTGTCAAAGTTTACCACAAATGTGCCCGTTCATAATTACTCGTGTGTTGTTGTTTGTTCTCATCTAAGGGTGTCAAATACTGACGCTTTCAGAAAGCCTGACAAAGCGTTATTTGATGCAAAAGGTGTCCCTAATCAGCGTTTGCGTCTGTATGATACGCCCTGTCTAGACCGGAAGCGCTAGTAGCTAGCTAGGTAGCTAGCCATGTTAGCGTAAAAGGCGTTAACAGCTTCCCAAAGCCCCTTACCCTAACCCTAACCATCACAGGGGTGTGTGTTTAAACTTAAGTCAATGATTGTATGCATGTCGACCGGCTAGCCTCCTTTGTGTTGCTACATTGTTAGATTGTTGTCATTGTTAGAAATTAAAAATGTACTGTTGAATAAGGTTTTTCATATCTTAAGTACACTCACCTAAAGGATTATTAGGAACACCTGTTCAATTTCTCATTAATGCAATTATCTAATCAATCACATGGCAGTTGCTTCAATGCATTTAGGGGTGTGGTCCTGGCCAAGACAATCTCCTGAACTCCAAACTGAATGTCAGCATGGGAAAGAAAGGTGATTTAAGCAATTTTGAGCGTGGCATGGTTGTTGGTGCCAGACGGGCCGGTCTGAGTATTTCACAATCTGCTCAGTTACTGGGATTTTCACGCACAACCATTTCTAGGGTTTACAAAGAATGGTGTGAAAAGGGAAAAAACATCCAGTATGCGGCAGTCCTGTGGGCGAAAATGCCTTGTTGATGCTAGAGGTCAGAGGAGAATGGGCCGACTGATTCAAGCTGATAGAAGAGCAACTTTGACTGAAATAACCACTCGTTACAACCGAGGTATGCAGCAAAGCATTTGTGAAGCCACAACACGCACAACCTTGAGGCGGATGGGCTACAACAGCAGAAGACCCCACCGGGTACCACTCATCTCCACTACAAATAGGAAAAAGAGGCTACAATTTGCAAGAGCTCACCAAAATTGGACAGTTGAAGACTGGAAAAATGTTGCCTGGTCTGATGAGTCTCGATTTCTGTTGAGACATTCAGATGGTAGAGTCAGAATTTGGCGTAAACAGAATGAGAACATGGATCCATCATGCCTTGTTACCACTGTGCAGGCTGGTGGTGGTGGTGTAATGGTGTGGGGGATGTTTTCTTGGCACACTTTAGGCCCCTTAGTGCCAATATGTGCCAGGATAACGCACCATGTCACAAAGCTCGAATCATTTCAAATTGGTTTCTTGAACATGACAATGAGTTCACTGTACTAAAATGGCCCCCACAGTCACCGGATCTCAACCCAATAGAGCATCTTTGGGATGTGGTGGAACGGGAGCTTCGTGCCCTGGATGTGCATCCCACAAATCTCCATCAACTGCAAGATGCTATCCTATCAATATGGGCAACATTTCTAAAGAATGCTTTCAGCACCTTGTTGAATCAATGCCACGTAGAATTAAGGCAGTTCTGAAGGCGAAAGGGGGTCAAACACAGTATTAGTATGGTGTTCCTAATAATCCTTTAGGTGAGTGTATATTCCTATTACATCATAGTGAACAGTTTCATCTCCAGTGATTAAAAAACATTTTATTATCTTGATTTGAAAGATTTAGTTGGATCATTTTAAATAGGCAGATTTGCGGTAACCTTCCTTGACTGACAGAACCACTTTTGCGCATGTGCAGAACGGATCTGGCAGGCAGTATGGATTTGGCACTGACAGTTGTACTGACAGTTTCAAACTTCTTATCTAACACAAGAAAGCCATTACTGTAGTACATTTCCCAAAATGTTTTGGGAATAAATTATTCTTTTAAACGTGACACAACTTGGCATGACGTGAGATACAACATAAACAAACATTTTTATAAAATATGCTCAAAATCTCCCCTATTATCCCTTTAATGAATTTATCAAGTGTAATTACTAAAATCGTACAAGTATGCTGCCTAGTATTATGTTGTTCAAAGCACTATAAGCTAGGTAATCATCTCAAAACAGGATAACAGGTCAAACCAAATGTACTGAAACACCTACATTTTTTCAGTGTGCACCAAATGCAATAAAATTACATTTTTAATACAGTATAACTTTAATAAAATTCCCCCAAGAGAGTATCATTAAAAAACAGATCATGATAAGAAGCAATCTTGCAAAATAAAGCAACGCTGGAGGTTGTTTTATTAAGTGTTCTGTTTGCCCACATATACAATAGCATCAACAGAGCTAATGCCCACCAAAACCCACACACACTCCCTGCTGCACACTGCCCACTCACTACAAAACAACAGGATAGGAATAGTGAGCACTCAGGACACAGGAGGCAAAGACAAGAGATATCGTCCCATGTATCTTAGAAATGTTCCTGTAATTCCCTTATACTAAATTTAACACATGCAATTACGATTTCTTTTGAGCATCTGACTTGTTTGGATATCACATAAAAATTTATTAAAACCTGTTAGCATGAATTTGTGTGCTTCCACAACATTCAATGACAGTTTAATGAAAACACAACTTATTACATATAGGCACTGATTTACTAATGTACTTATGTCAGAAAGAGGAGGATTAATATGTTTGAATGTGCATACCATCCCTTCCACATTTTTCATATTAGACTCCTGCTTCTGCAAACTGTTATGTGTAGGAATGTTTGCAGAGGGGGCTCTTTAACTTCATAGTTTAGCTCGTATGTCCAAAACAGACGTAACAATGACCACACAAATGCTTGTTTTAATATGGTGGGGGGGGGGGGTGATGGCGCAACGGATAAGATGCCTTTGGTGTGAGAGACCCAGGTTCAACTCCCCACTGTGACCCATCTACCAATGTGTTCCTGAGCAAGACACTTAACCCCTAGTTGCTCCAGAGGCGTGCAACCTCTGAAATGTATAGCAATTGTAAGTCGCTTTGGATAAAAGCATCAGATAAATGTAATATTTAATTAATACAAATGCTTTTACCATATAAGCCAAAACCCAGCGCAGAAAATAGCTTTTAAGCATAAATGTCCAACAAAAGTTAAGTTAGTGATAAAATATTTGAAATCTATTGTCACCTTCAAGTAACCTGGACTGTGTACTGCACACCAACACCTCACTGGTGATGGGATTGATTGATTAATCTGCTTTCTGGTACCTCCCACGACTTTAACATTTTATCTGCTAGTTTTCTTTCAGGTTTCATGTCAAACTGTGTTGTTTCACTTCACACAGCTACTCTGTATTCTGGTATTAACTTCATGTGTACTCTTTCTGAAATGTGGTAGGGTACAGTGCTTTGGCTGCAAAGTATCGCCGCTTAAATCCCCTGCAACTCTCAAAAAAAAATTGCGTACCACCTCTGTGATGGCATTTGTTCGTGTGATAATTCTGTGACTGTTTCACTTACTCAGCTTGCAGCTGTTGGCCTCGATCAATTTTCAGTGGTTATTTTTCAGACCAAAAAGGATTTAGAATGACTTTCCATTAGGTTTTCAGAGAGTCTGTTGGGGTGAATGAGTCTAAAGATGTGGTTACCAAAAGTATTTGTGCTTTCCTGTAAGTTACCATAAAATCAACCTGACTAACAATAAAATCTATTGTATAATAATATGAATAATATATTTCTATTCTTTTGCTTCCCTCCACAGGTCAGCATGCAGGTTCAGCTGCACAGCACAAGCTATACATGCAAATGATTAACATATTAATAAAGCTTTTATCAAGTAAAATGCCTGCAAACTGGGTTAAGAGGTTCATTTTCTGTTGCATTGTCATTTGCTGACTGAACAATTACAAATGGGATAAATACAAATTTGAATTTAATTATTAATTGTCCATTGTCAGATGGTTCAGCCATCTCAGAATACAGCTGCTCTGATGAGATGTGGATGCACAACACAATAGATAATAGTGCAATAAACCAAAACACAGCAGATCTGTGAGGGGTCAGGAGAAAATAGCCAGACGTGTTACTTGCTCACAACTAAGGACATTACAGTAAGTATGCAAATCACAACTCTCACAACTTTCAGCTCAGAACTCGAACATGTGATGAGGAAAAATGGATACATTGCCTAATATAGCAAGTCCAATCCTTGGATTTTTACCAAATAAAGAACTACTAGAATAAGAGTGGGATGTTTGCAGCATGACACATCTGCAGCAATGGAGCAAACCAAGTACCTGAAGAAGGTTTGCAGCATCTTGCCATGCTGCAATGAAATTAAATTGTTATAAACATTCAAGATAACTTTACCAAGTAGATAGCAGGCATATCTTAAATAGAATGTTTTTAATAGCTCTGGGTCTTTGAAAATATCTGTTTGGCTTATTTTTATCCATTCAATTATGAAATGGCCTCAGAGTGCCCCAGAGCAGGACTGGATATCATTCAATGAGCAGTTTCAGATTTATTCAAGGAAATATACAGTAGGCAATACAGTCTCCTACTCCGCTCCAACATCCCACCTACAGTTAAACCTGATTTTAGTTGATTTTAGATTTTTGTGTAGTTGTTTCTAGTTGCAAAGGAGGTTAGAGGAGAACTGTAGTGACTCACCTGGTTCTACCTTAATCCCTGAATCCATCCCTGGCCTACTTTATTTCCCATTCTTAACCTCAGATGACTCTCTCAATCTATTCCAGTTCCTCCACTCATTCCCTCCCACACACCCACGCGCCTGCCATCTTAGGATACCTCTCCCCCCATTGCCCCTTCTTGTTGTGCCTCCTCTCTCTCTGAACTACACTTCTCCTCTCCTCCCCGCAACCCCCTCTCCTCCTTTTGTATTTGACGTGATTTGTCTGGAGTATTGTTTTCCACCAGTCAGAAACTTTTAGTCTCACTCGCCACAACGCTTCCCAAGGGACCTTAAGGGAAGCTGCTGATCGAAGTGATAAGTGAAGTCAGTGGTGTGTGTGTGTGTGTGTATAAACTAGATAGATAGAGATAGAGTTATCTGTTCAAGGCTGCCAGGTAAAAATCTTGTAACTCCTAGTTTTTGTTCTTGTATAGGCTGAGAAAATCTTACAACCCCCGAGGATTGTGAACCTACAAGCCTCATTTTATAAACCCAAAAATGAATGGTTGTCAAGCTTAAAACCAAGCTATTTCACTTCCTGGAATTCTGACATTTTGGTGATACATGCAGGGTTTTTCAGTTCACTTGGTCTGAAAGATCCTCCGAAAGTGTGACATTTGACCACCATTGTTTACTGTACTCTAGTGCATACACAGCAGGGAGGACTTCATATTTTATTCTTCCATATTATCTAAGTGTGACTCTGCAAAAGGCCAAAGCCACAGCTACTACTTATATTCTATGACCATCTATGTTCAAGGAGGGGCAAATGCAGTTGTTTTCCAAGGGAAGCCATTGTGGGATGTGCAAACGCAGGGGGAAGAAACAAACCAAAATAACTGAGAGCTTAAGAGGAGATGAGTTGTATTCTTTCAACTGCACAGAAGAAATGCATTGAAAATGTTCAATATCCCAAGAACCCTTGTTAGCTCAGAGTGCATAATTGATCGTTCCCTAAGCCTCACACCTCTATAGTTATAGTTGATGCCTGTCAAGCTTTCTGTTCTGGCACAGCACATTATTCTGAATGCCAATGACCTTGGCAGGGCTGGAGAGAAACTCATACAGTGATTGTCCCTAAGCCCATTTGGCACTTTTGTTGACATCATACTGTTTGAAAAGAGGCATGTGTAAAAACAAAAAAAAATCACTCCTGCTTACTATTTTTAACGTTGATTTTCTCCATTTAGGTGTGACAGCCCATGACTCTTCAAATGTGTCTTTAAAGCAGATGATTCAGAGACTTAAAGGAATGTTAAGTCCGTACAATATGACTAGACTGTGTTTGTATTTCTGTGAGAAAAAGGTGCATGTCGATTTATTTCTGTAATGTTTACATCTGTGTATGCACATACTGTATCAGAAGCACATGCCAAATGCTTGCCAGATCTTTCTTACATCCTCCCCCTTCTCTTCTCCCCTTTCTCTTTTTTGTATCCTTCCCCTTTCCCCAGCCATCAATCCTGATGGGCTCCTGCCATCCTGATGTAGGTAACATGATTTTGAGGTAAAGCTCTGCTGATTGCTGTGTAATAGCGGCTTGGCGGTGTGGGAGCTGACAGGGGCTGTAGATCAGCTCTGTACAGGAAGTGTTAGTTTGGCCACCAAATCGCTCTGGGTGGAACATCACCATTATTTCCTCAGACATTTGGCATGAGCTCCTCAAACGGTGACTCAGACCCACAGGGGTAGAGAAACAGCAGAGCAGACGATGCTACAGCAAAAATGAACACACGTATACAGTGTAAAACACTGCATAAACACATAAGGACTTATTCACTTACACACGAGGTGCGAATCCACAGGTTTTCATTCACACTCATGCATTCAATATAAAATACACTCACACTAACATCTCCTCAGTGCTAGCTGCAAATAAGATTTAGGGAATCAACAAAGTGATACAAATGTTGTTTGGATCAGCAAACATGACCACCGACTTTGTGCAATATAATTTTATTCTCTCCAAATAAACCTTCTCTTCCAGTAACTAGCAATCCACACTCTCAAAATGCACTTCACGTTGCTGGGACATAAACAGAGAAACCCAAGATAAAACAAAGAATACAATACAAATTTAACAGCTCTGATATAACCCAAGCTATCTGTCATAAAAACAGAATCTTTATTCTCATGGCTGTGTGTGAAAAAGCCATAACCGTAAACAGCCCAGCTGGTAATCCATTCAGAGGCCCCGGAGCTTTAGTATGTGTCAGCACAGTGCAGAGCTGAGTGGCTTTAACAGGTCCTGGGACGCTTTTGAAGGCCTGAGAATCCCTCACCTGGATATAATGGGTCCCACATCCTAGATCTCCCCAAGGGTGGACACGGAGAATGGCCGTGCAGATTCAGGCTGACATGTGCTGGGCAGATGTACCTGACTTAAGTGACTGAGGAACACAGCAGGTTAAGTTGGTCTCCTGTGATGTTACTCATGAAAGATTAATTCTGTCTTTCAAAGATTCTTTTAGCAAAAGTGGACTGATGATGGAATGCAGGACAGCCTTTCCTAAAACTGATTCTTTCATGCCTTTTAAGTGATGTTATTTTTGTTGTTTTTACACATGCTAGACATTGGCTCTATGGATGGCAATGTCGGTCCAACTTCTGTGTGGAGTTTGCATGTTCTCCGTGTCTGCGTGGGTTTTCTCCGGGTGCTCCGGTTTCCCCCACCATCAAAAACATGTTAGGTAGGTTCTCCAGTCAGTGCTGTTTGACCTGGCACTGCATGGCAATCTGGAGTTGGTCCCCAGGCGCTGTACAGTGGCTGCCCACTGCTCCCTTAGGGATGGGTTAAATGCAAAGGATGAATTTTGCTACATGTATGTGTATGTGACAAATAAAGTACCTTTACCTTTACCTTTACCTGTTGTACCTACCTACCTAATAGAGCCACTATCATGGCGGTAGACTTGTAGTCTTGTTTTATTGCAATCAATGTTTAATGGCACTTGTAAGACGATGCAATCAAACTCAATGCAAGACACACCGGTTTCCACAGAGCCCAGCTTGCTTGGAAGTTCTCCATTACAGGGTCAGGAAAGTTACTTTTCTTTAAGCTATAATAACATGATTAATTTTGCATGGTTGCATAGGAGAGGACCATTTCACACACATGTTCTGTCTATTGGATATCTGTCTCTCTTAACCTTAATCAATGCAACTGAATAGCTGCTGTGCAGATAAAAACAATCGTTTACACTTTTGGAAACAACACAACAAAACAACAAAAAGAAACAACGTAGCTGTTGAGAAATGGAAAACAGCTTTGTTTCTCTGTAAAAGTGGCAGAGAGGGAGGATGATGGCATAATACTGAACAAAAACCCTATTACACAGTCAACCCCCAGCAGTTTGTCACTGTCCATTTCTCACAAAGTGATAAAGCTGCTGTCCATAGGGCACCTTCTCATCAGCTCTGCTAGATAAATAAGATTTCCAGTTCTTTCTAACAAGCTTTAGCTCACACGAGGTTTTCACACTAAGTCTTTCAAATGTAAAAGAACATCTATTGCTTGTCATGATGTCTCTCATCATCCAACATTCGTTCTTTCCTCAGTCAAAGAGGACAATTAAGTCATTGTGCTCAAAACGATACAGTTTTATTATGTGGGCCAGTGTACTTGACAGCGCGGACGTGGGTGGCATTTTTGAAAAATGAGGTAACTTTTGTTTTCTTAAATGAGAGGTGGTGGGTGAAGTAATCATGTTCGCAGTTATCCAATACTTATGAGGATACACTGATTGCCTAAATGGGTCATTTACACCCTGTGCAAACAAACACGCTCTACTTCACATTTTACATTTAATAGAAACTCTTTAACAACACCAACATTGCCAGCAGCTTTGAGCCAAGAGAGATGAATATAAGAGAAGTAACATGGTGATGAAGATTAAATGATTCCAACCCATGTGCTTGTTCATGACGTTTTTCCTTCTTATGCACCCATCTTTTCTTTCCCTTCTGATCATTTATTAACTGTAGCCCACCTTCTCTGCCCTTCTTTCTCTCCTACTCACATTTCTCTCTTCTGTCTTTTTCCTCCAGGAGTATGGTTGTTTTAATCACAACACCTCTCATCTTAAAGACACCTTGTGCCAGGACAAAGCAGCTAGAGAAGCCAATCACAGGTCAATTCATAAAGGTAAACAATCCACT